GCAGCAAGGAGGACTCAAGAAACATTCCTGAGCCTGCCCAGGCCCCCATCCATACTGTGATGAACACTGTACTCTGTCCAAGATGGCTGGATGCAGGCAACCTCACTCAGCTTTCTACTGTACCCCACCCAATTTTCACTATGTTATGTGAGCCATGGGTGGGGTGATGATTGGACTATAGAGTTATGAATACTTTTTCTTTTGTGAATTATAGTTTTATTCCTTGTCCTTGGTGTTTTTAAGTTGGTACTTAACTGGCAGAAGTTAATAAAAATCCATTTAGCAGATCCTCTCTCATGACACCCTGACTTTCAAGTTCACTCTCTTACTGCAAGGTCCAGTACCTGCCCCCTGTTTTCCATGAGATGATAAACTCTGACTCTGCTTGGGAGGATAAGATGCAAGATAACATAACTCAAAGGGAGAAAATTAAGCCTCCATCAATTTAATAATTGTGAAAATATGATCTCATTTATGTACCCATATTTTGATAAAAATCACTTCCTTTTATACTTGTTTTTTCTCCTTTATTACTTACTTAAAAATATATCAAGGATATTGTTCCTATACATATAGATAAACATCATTATTTTAAAGGATGTATAGCATTTCATTATATAAAACTTCTGTTGCTATTTGATTTATATTCTTACAACTATAAATACTGCAGTAAAACTTCTTATATACTGATTTTGCTCTCTTACTCTTCTCCATCTCTTTCACTGTGCTAAATTTTAAGAGGAGAAATTGCTGAATGCAAAGGCTATGCTCTTTTAAAACTGAAACATATTTTACCAAGCTTATAATCCATAAAGGCTACCCCAGTTTAAAATCTCATCATCAGTAAAAAGAATGTCCATTTTCTTATACCCACACTCATACTTGCTGTTATAATTCTCTTAAGTCTTTTCCAGTTCGATGGTTAAAAAATCATAGAAGTGTTTTAATGTGCTTATGTTCTCTAAGGAATTGTGTGAATGTTTTAGAAAACCTTTCCCCACCGAATGACTATAGAACAATACTCACCAGTAATTTTCTTTTTTTACACAAATCTTTGCTCCATCTGAAATTTATATTGACTTCACAGAAACAAGACAAAAAAGTGGGCAGCTCATTTTTCAGCGTGGTAAGAAAGTAAAGGCCACCCAAGGATTATCTAGGATGGAGATCTGAAAACTGCTGCCTGCAGCCAAATCTGGCCCACCACCTACTTTTATCAATAATGCTTTATTGGAACACAGTCATACTGAGACTGCTTTCATGCTACCATGAGTAGCTGCAAGAGAGATCATGTGACTTGCAAAGCCTAAAAAATTTACTATCAATCCATCCATTCTGAGGTGAGGAAGTCTCAGCCAGAGAACTTCATCAGGGCAGGATTTTCTGTTTGTTGAAACCTCTGTGGCAGCATTAGCTTTTGCCGCCTGGCGTCTTGCTCAGCTGTCTTCCCCTCTTATACATGGTGTGACTGTATATGGTCTCCTTCCCAGCCTTCTACCTGACAATCAGGGTACTGCACAGAACAGTGATCAGTCCCTTTAAGTCTGAAGTTCAAGAAACTTTTGGTGAGAAGCAAGTTAAAGGAAAGCAGGGCATTATGACTTTTCTGCGTGGTGATGCCACATATACTGCCGTCCTGCCCCTGCACTCAGCTCCCCCACCACCTGCCTAGCAACCTTGATGAAAATTCTTTACAGCTTCTCAAATGGTACCAAATAGATGGGTCTCCTCTTTTTGCACATAGTTCACTTTTACCCCTGACCTTGTCCCTCTGGACTGAAGGAGTTCATTCTCACTCTGAGAGGGAGGGGATGGGCAAAGAGAAGAAAGATAGACTGGCCCCAGGTTTTCTGCCCTGACTCCGCCATTTCAGAAAATCTTAGAATGTTCAGCTGTGATAGGGAAAAGGTCTTTTTAATCTTCACAACTACACCAATGCCTTTACTGCATGTTACCATCTAGTCTGGCTTCCCCAGTGGCTTAGTAAGTAAAGAATTCACCTGCAATGCAGGAGACACAGGAGACAAAAGTTCGATCCCTGGGTTGGGAAGATCCCCTGGAGAAGGAAATGTCAACCCACTCCAGTATTCTTGCCCGAAAAGTCCCTTAGGCAGAGAAACCTGGTGGGCTATAGTCCAAAGGGTCACAAAGAGTCGGACATGACTGAGTGACTGAACACACACACATGCCATCTAGTCTAGGGAGTGGTTTCTGACCCCTCCCTACTTTATATCCTGAAGTTCTTACTGTCACTGTTATCCTCTCCAGCTCTGCCCCCACCTTCCATATTATCTTCTGTCATCTGTACTTTTTCATCTCACTTGCCAAAAAGCAAGACTACAGAGTAAAAGTTACTCCATGTTAGAAGATTTGCAAAAAATGATCACCCTAAGCTGATTTAAATTACTTCCATGTCTGTTCTAACTGACCAAGCAAACAGTGAATCTGTCCCTGTTCGGATTCCACCTGGCCCCCCAGCCACCCACCATCATGAGGACCTGGGAGTGGCTCGGAAACCCTGGAAACAAGTCCCACCAGTTTCCCCTTCCTGCCTTTGCTCAAGGAGAGCCCACAGCCAGCCAGGCACCCACTAGCATCCCACCTCTTCCCACTCCTTTCAGAGGCATCCCTGCCAGGTGCTGGGGAATACCCCTGCAGGTCAGTCAACTCTTGGAGCCTGAATTCCTCATCAATAAATGAGGATGATAATACTACTTGCCTCATGAGGATGCAGTAAGTATTAAATGAGCCAAAATGCTTCATGAAGCATCCAGAAGCACTTCACATATACGGGCTGTGTGTGTGTGTGTTTTCTCCCAAGGATCTATTGTGCTGTGTATGCTAAGTCGCTTCAGTTCTGTCTGACTCTTTGAGACCCTGTGGACTGTAGCTCGCCAGGCTCCTCTGTCCATGGGATTCTCCAGGCAAGAATACTGGAGTGGGTTGCCATGCCCTCCTCCAGGGCATCTTCCTGACTCAGGGTTCAAATCTGTGTCTCTTATATCTCCTGCATTGACAGGTTCTTTACCACTAGTACCATCTGAGAAACCCAGGATCTACTGATTTTTACACAACCACAGGATAATTGCAAGGCTATTGTTTGTTTAAACCACATTTGCTGAGTAGAAATAACACCAAACTCTAGAGTTGGACTGTAAGGAAAGCTGAACGCAGAAGAATTGATGCTTTTGAACTGCAGAGTTGGAGATGACTCTTGAGAGTCTCTCGGACTGCAAGGAGATCCAACCAGTCCATCCTAAAGGAGATTAGTCCTGAGTGTTCATTGGAAGGACTGATGTTGAAGCTGAAACTCCAATCCTTTGGCCACCTGATGCAAAGAGCTGACTCATTTGAAAAGACCCTGATGCTGGGAAAGATTGAAGGCAGGAGAAGGGGACAACAGAGGATGAGATGGTTGGATGGCATCACCGACTCAATGGACATGAGTTTGGGTAGACTCTGGGAGTTGGTGATGGACAGGGAGGCCTGGCATGCTGCAGTCCACGGGGTTGCAAAGAATCAGGCACAACTGAGCAACTGAACTGAACTGAACTGTGAAGATATGGGGAAATACTCCTAAGCATTTTAAACGTATATAGATTTTTGAAAGCTTAATGATAAATAGATAACCAACAAGGTCCTACAGTATAGCATGGGGAACTATACTCAATACCTTGTAATAACCTATAATGGAAAAGAATTCCAAAAAGGATATATATAACTGAATCACTTTGCTGAACACCTGAAACTAACACAACATTGTAAATCAACTATATATCAATGAAATTTTTTAAAAAACTTAAAATATTTTAAGTTTTACAATATTTATTATTAAATCTCCAAAATTTACGCAAGGTTCTTGTTTTTTGAGGAAATCAAAGCTAAAGGCAAAGACAATAACCTTTCTAAGTAACTACAGTAAAACATCATTCTCTGGGGTATTAAAACGGCACTTAATTGCTAGACAATTCCCGGTCTTTGAAGAGAGTTCACGGCAAAGATATTAAACTGCTGCTGAGGGTGTAGACATTTAGCTTTCAAGAAGTTAGATGGATGATGGTCATTATTTTCAATATTGCTGTGTATGTACCCAGCAGACTTCTCACAAAGAGCCAGAGGACCTAAAAGACCCTGAAAGCCAAGATAAGGCAGGCCCAAGGCCCAGGACAAGGGCTGAAGTGAGAGTAAGTAGCCCCTGCGTGAGGCGGGAAGGAGCCTCTGCCTCCCGACGGGCGCGCACCGAGCTAGTGTCCACAGGCTCGAAGCAGCAGTAGAAGAAGGTGGAAACGTGGGAAGCAGCGGAAAAAACCTCTGCTGGAGAGTGCCGCCCCACTGAGGCTGGGGTGACCCCACTGAGCGCAAGCGCAAAGAGCCCTGCTTGCCCACTCCCCGACCCCCACCGCAGAAGGGGGCTGTGGAGTGTTGTGTGGACTGCAACCCATGCTCACGCGTGCTGACGGCCTTCCCTTGCTGTGTGGGTTCACCGGGAGGCTGGCAGCCCGGCTTCTCTTCTCTTCAGCTGAGGGAGTTCAGGCAGGCCCCTCCATCCCTTGGGCTTCGCTGGTGGTTCAGCTGGTAAAGAATCCGCCTGCAGTGCGGGAGATCTGGGTTCCATCCCTGGGTTGGGAAGATCCCCTGGAGAAGGGAAAGGCTACCCACTCCAGTGTTCTGGCCTGGAGAATTCCATGGACTGTAGAGTCCATGGGGTCCCAAAGAGTCTGACAGGACTGAGCGACTTTCACTTTCCCTTTCCCGTCCCTCAGCTGCCTCATCTGTGTACACAGAGCTCCGCTAGACCTCAAGGTCATCAGAGTTGCTCAGCTGACAGCAGACCAAGACTGAGAAAACACATACAGGAAATAAAAAACTTTATTTTATAAAAAGTCACCTCATGTTAGAAGAGTCACAAAAGGGCGGTTCAAGTCGCAATTTCACGAACTTAGCTACAACTAAACTAAACTTGATTTCTTAACACAGATGACAGATAAAAGATGACTTACTGGTGATTCGATGTCCTCCAGGAGTAAAACAGAACAGCGTTCACATTTCAACAGTGTTTGGGCCCGATGCATTATTTTCTTGACAATTTTCTCCAGGTCGGTCTGTTCTTCAAAGAGGTCATTAACCACCTCTAGCAAAGCCTAGGAAAGAGAAAATGTATGTATTTAGGTGGCTAAGGGACTGAATTAAAATTTGTCTCTCAAAAATTCCATTTAGTCTTTGCAATAAAAATATAAATATTTTTGTGTGGCTAAATTTTAAAGTGTTTATGGTTGTTTTGACATATTTCCATTGTTTCATTTCATAACACAGTCTTGAATAATAACTTGAGAATAGTGCCAGTCCATATGTGTGTGCGTGTGTGCGCGTGTGCTGAGTTGCTCAGTCACTCAGTCATGTCCAACTGTTTATGATCCCATGGACAGTAGCCCACCAGTCCATATAATCCCACATAAATTCTTCATATATCTATATGACTATATTCCATACAGTTAATGACTACATGATCTCACATAATCATTACTGATAGGCTTTTCTGCTCCTACAGTAGTTTTTCTGCAATATTTAAAAATTGATTTTTAAATGTTTTAAAAAACATGACTGGGTTTAAAAATCAACATTTTATGAATACCAAATACTTGATTCTCTCCAAGATACATTTATTTCAGAAAATTACAAAGCATCTCTTCCTCACCATCTGGAAGAAATAGCTTCATGGTCAAACTCAAGACTTATTTTCACTAATATATATCTCTCACAGAACTATTAAAGAATTATAGTAATGGATGCTAGTTAAGTTTCAAAACCTTCAAAAATATATATATAAAACCCCTATTAATCCCCCTACACAAGAAATTTGTCCAGGAGACCATTGAAATGCCATTATACATCTCAAAAAAAAATCATTAAAAATTTATTAAAATAATAAAATAAAAAGCATAAAAATTAAAGAAAAAACTTAAATTCTAACTTGAAAGCTGTATACGCATTTAAAAATGAAATTGTGATAACATGTCATTTTATCCAGCTAAGCTAGCTTACAATTTATACATTGAGATAATATTTATTTAGAATTTTTAATTACATGGATACATCCAGAGATTGAAGAACAGTGAACCATTTACAGGTAGTAGATATTTTGCCTCTATCAAAGCACAATCAGAAAATTACACAGCCAGTGAACTGGCCAGAGGATGCTTTATTCAACAGAATTTAATGTGATGTCTCCAGTCTGACCTGTCACAAAAGGATTTCATGGGTTTTCAAATTCACATCTATTCTGATAGGTGGTGTTGACTAATTTTCAACTTTGGTAATGAATTTGATTTGTCCTGAAACCATCTGAAACGTGAGAATTTCTTCTCTGAGTCTATTCAGGTAGAAAAGTATTTGAATGAGTTAAGGGATCCATGAAATGAGTCTATTTCCCTAAGCATCTCAAAGCGGACCCAAAATCTCAGACAGTGTTTTCTCTAAAGAGAGCTTGTGACTGTGGCTAAGGGCTGTGCATTGCTCTATGATTCCAAAGCAAAGAGAAACACTATGAGTTGAAAAAAGTTTTAAGCGTGTTCTGTCCACTTGGCATTTGGACAGCAAATCGCTGTAAGAGGTCAATGTCTGGTAATTTCATGTGCAAATATAATATTAAAAATAAGGCAACTGTCTGCATAATTACCAACAACATCCCCTGTTATTAAGGGAGGAGACATTATTTCCTTAATCATCCAGACTAGTTCTTCAGATGGATCATATTAACTGAACAATTATTTAACTTTTCAATTTGGTGTGACTGCATGGATGGGGCCTCTGGGACCCATATACAGGAACATTTATCTCGGAGGAAAAACTAATTGTGCCTTGAGTTTCGTACTGACAAATCGCATTACAGTAATTTTATTGTTTCTAATTAAAAATTGCTGCTTTACTAACAAGTGATAAAAGTTTCACAAATAACAATGTAGACTGGCTTCAAAATAGGAGGAAAAAAAAAAAGAAGAAAATCTAGGATGACACGCAATGCGACAGACATGGAAGTTTTGCACACAATTGAACACTCCCTGTTTCTCAATGTCACTTGCATGTCCCCAGATCCTTCTTCAGACCTTCTTTTGCTTCTGGACTTATCCTTGGACCTTTTCCCTTCTCTTATCCATATATTTTTCCCACCTGTACCCTAGTTTTAAATACCATCTATATGCTGATGGGTCCCAAACATTAATCTCGAGTCTTCACATCTCTCCAAAACTCTAACTCCATATCCAACTGCTTACTTGCCACCCATACAAGCCTAAAGTCATTTTCATTCATTTCCCATATCAGTAGGCCTTATATATTTCACTGCTAAATTTTTTGGAGAATCTCTCACTTCTCACTGTCCAGCTACATTACTTCTCCCCACCACCAGCTTTATTGAGATATAATTGACATAAAACTTTGTGTAAGTTTAAGGTGTACAACATGATGATTTAATACACCTATATATTGCAAAATGATTACTACACTAAGGTTAGTTAAAATATCCATCACCTTACATAATTACAATTTTTTTGTGGTAAGAACATTAAGATTTATTTTCTCAGCAATATTCAAGTGCATAATGCAGTATCATTAACTATAGTCATCACACTGAACACTAGATCTCCAGAACTTACTTATCTTATAACTAGAAGTCTGTATACTTTGACCAACATCTCTCCTTTTCCTGGACACTCCAGCTCCTGGAAACCACCATACTACACTCTGCTTCTTTGAGTTCCACTTTCATAGATTCAATATATATGTGAAATAATACAGACTGGATCATCAAAAAAGCAAGAGAGTTCCAGAAAAACATCTATTTCTGCTTTATTGACTATGCCAAAGCCTTTGACTATGTAGATCACAATAAACTGTGGAAAATTCTGAAAGAGATGGTAATACCAGACCACCTGACCTGCCTCTTGAGAAACCTGTATGCAGGCCAGGAAGCAACAGTTAGAACTGGACATGGAACAACAGACTGGTTCCAGATAGGAAAAGGAGTACGTCAAGGCTGTATATTGTCACCCTGCTTACTTAACTTATATGCAGAGTACATCATGAGAAATGCTGGGCTGGAAGAAGCACAAGCTGGAATCAAGATTGCTGGGAGAAATATCAATAACCTCAGATATGCAGATGACACCACCCTTACGGCAGAAAGTGAAGAAGAACTAAAGAGCCTCTTGATGAAAGTGAAAGAGGAGAGTGAAGAAGTTGGCTTAAAGCTCAACATTTAGAAAACTAAGATCATGTCATCTGGTCCCATCACTTCATGGCATATAGATGGAGAAACAGTGGAAACAGTGGCTGACTTTGTTTTGCGGGGCTCCAAAATCACTGCAGATGGTGATTGCAGCCATGAAATTAAAAGACGCTTACTCCTTGGAAGGAAAGTTAGGACCAACCTAGACAGCATATTAAAAAGCAGAGACATTACTCTGTCAACAAAGGTCCGTCTATTCAAGGCTATGGTTTTTTCAGTAGTCATGTCTGGATGTGAGAGTTGGACTATAAAGAAAGCTGAGAGCCGAAGAATTGATGCTTTTGAACTGTGGTGTTGGAGAAGACTCCTGAGAGTCCCTTGAACTGCAAGGAGATCCATCCAGTCCATCCTAAAGGAGATCAGTCCTGGGTGTTCATTGGAAGGACTGATGTTGAAGCTGAAACTCCAATCCTTTGGCCACCTGATGTGAAGAGCTGACTCATTTGAAAAGACCGTGATGCTGGGAAAGATTGAAGGCGGGAGGAGAAGGGGACAACAGAGGATGAGATGGTTGGATGGCATCACCGACTCATTCGACATGAGTTTGGGTGGACTCCAGCAGTTGGTGATGGACAGGGAGGCCTGGCGTGCTGCGGTTCATGGGGTCGCGAGTCAGACATGACTGAGTGACTGAACTGAACTGAACTGAACTGATTTTACTTAACAGAGTGCCCTCAAGTTTCATCCATGTTGTCACAAATGACAGGGTTTTCTTCTGCCTTATGGCAGAATAATGCTCCATTGTGTGTGTGTATGTGTGTATCACAATTTCTTTATTCATTCAACTATTAATGCACACTTAGGTTGTTTCCGTATCTTGGCTATTGTAAATAATATTGCAATGAACATGGGAGTGCAGATATCTTTCTGAGCTAGAAATTTAATTTCCTTTTGATATATACTCAGAAGTGAAGCTGCTGGATAATATGGTAGTTCTATTTTTAATTTTTTGAGGAACCTCCATATTGTTTTCCATAGTAGCTGCACCAATTTATATTCCCCCAACAGTGTACAAAGGGTTCCCTTTTCTCCACATCCTTACCAACACTTGTTTTCCCATATCATTTTGATAACAGCCATTCTAAGAGGTAGGAAGTGATATCTCATTATAGTTTTAATTTGCATTTCCCTGATGATGTTGAGCATCTTTTCATGTGTCTATTGGCCATTTGTATGTCTTCTTTGGAAAAATGTCTTTTCAAATTCTCTGTTTTTTAATTGGATGATTTGGGGTTGTTTTTTTTTTTTGCTTGTTTTTTTGTTTGTTTGTTTGTTTGTTGTTTTTTGCTATTGGGTTGTGTGAGTTCCTTATATATTTTGGAGATTAACCCCTTATCAATACAGATGATTTGCAAATATTTTCTCCCATTCCATAGTCTACTTCTTCATTTTTTGATTGTTTCTTTTGCTGTGAAGAAGTTTTTGTGTTTGAGGTAGTCTCAGTTGTTTATTTCTCCTTTTGTTGCCTGAACTTTTATATCAGACCCCCCAAAAAAATCACTGGAGCTTTCACCCATATTTTCTTCTAGGAGTTTTACAGTTTCAGGTCTCAAGTTTAAGCTTTTAATCTATTTCAAGTTGATTTTTGTGAGTGATATAAGATAGAGGTTTAATCTAATCTCATTCTTTTGCATGTGAATATCCAGTTTCCCGAAACCATTTATTGAAAAAAAAACTACTTTTTCCCCATTGAGTATTCTTGGCTCCCTAGTCAGATGTTGACTCTGTATGTATGGGTTTATTTCTGGGCTCTTAATTCTATTCCATTGGTCTGTATGTCTGTTTTTAATGCCAGTACAATACTATTTTGATTACTATAGCTTTGAAGAATAGTTTTAAATCAAGAAGTGTGGTGCCCCCAGCTTTGTTCTTCTTCCTTAGGATTGTTTTGGCTATCTGATGTCTTTCCTATCTGCTCTTTAGACAGATGGACCAAAGCTTCTCCTACCCCTTGGCCTTTGCACTTGATATTTCCACTGCTTGGAATCTTCTTCCTAGATCTTTGTGTGGCTTTGCTCCTTCATTTAATTTAGGTCTCTGCTCAGATATGACGTCTTCATAGAGACCTTCTTGATCACCTTCTGAAATAAACATCATCCTAAACTACCCTTCAGCAACCAGTCTGTATTCCATTATCTCACTTTGTTCTTTTTTTTTACAGCACTTACCCCATGAACAGTCTGAGAAGGCAAAATGATAGGATACTGAAAGAGGAACTCCCCAGGTCAGTAGGTGCCCAATATGCTACTGGAGATCAGTGGAGAAATAACTCCAGAAAGAATGAAGAGATGGCGCCAAAGCAAAAGCAATACCCAGTTGTGGATGGGACTGGTGATAGAAGCAAGGTCCGATGCTGTAAAGAGCAATATTGCATAGGAACCTGGAATGTTAGGTCCATGAATCAAGGCAAATTGGAAGTGGTCAAACAGGAGATGGCAAGAGTGAACATCGACATTCTAGGAATCAGTGAACTAAAATGGACTGGAATGTGTGAATTTAACTCAGATGACCATTATATCTACTACTGTGGGCAGGAATCCCTTAGAAGAAATGGAGTAGCCATCATAGTCAACAAAAGAGTCCAAAATGCAGTACTTGGATGCAATCTCAAAAACGACAGAATGATCTCTGTAAGGCAAACCATTCAATATCATGGTAATCCAAGCCTATGCCCCAACCATAACACTGAAGAAGCTGAAGTTGAATGGTTCTATGAAGATATACAAGAACTTTTAGAACTAACACCCAAAAAAGATGTCCTTTTCATTATAGGGGGCTGGAATGCAAAAGTAGGAAGTCAAGAAACACCTGGAGTAACAGGCAAACTTGGCCTTGGAGTACAGAATGAAGCAGGGCAAAGGCTAATAGAGTTTTGCCAAGAGAACACACTGGTCATAGCAAACACCCTCTTCCAACAACACAAGAGAAGACTCTACACATGGACATCACCAGATGGTCAACACCGAAATCAGATTGACTATATTCTTTGCAGCCAAAGATGGAGAAGCTCTATACAGTCAGCAAAAACAAGACCAGGAGCTGACTGTGGCTCAGATCATGAACTCCTTATTGCCAAATTCAGACTTAAACTGAAGAAAGTAGGGAAAACCACCAGACCATTCAGGTATGACCTAAATCAAATCCCTTATGACTATACAGTGGAAGTGAGAAATAGATTTAAGGGACTAGATCTGATAGACAGAATGCCTGATGAACTATGGATGGAGGTTCGTGACATTGTACAGGAGACAGGGATCAAGACCATCCCCATGGAAAAGAAATGCAAAAAGGCAAAATGGTTGTCTGAGGAGGCCTTACAAATAGCTGTGAAAAGAAGAGAAGTGAAAAGCAAGGGAGAAAAGGAAAGATATACCCATTTGAATGCAGAGTTCCAAAGAATAACCAGGAGAGATAAGAAAGCCTTCCTCAGTGATCAATGCAAAGAAATAGAGGAAAACAACAGAATGGGAAAGACTAGAGATCTCTTCAGGACAATTGGAGATATCAAGGGAACATTTCAGGCAAAGATGGGTTCGGTAAAGGACATAAATGGTATGGACCTAACAGAAGCAGAAGATATTAAGAAGAGGTGGCAAGAATACACAGACTATACAAAAAAGATCTTCACGAGCCAGATAATCACAATGGTGTGATCACTCACCTAGAGCCAGACATCCTGGAATGTGAAGTCAAGTGGGCCTTAGAAAGCATCACTACACACAAAGCTAGTGGATGTGATGGAATTCCAGTTGAGCTATTTCAAATCTGGAAAGATGATGCAGTGAAAGTGCTGCACTCAATATGCCAGCAAATTTGGAAAACTCAGCAGTGGCCACAGGACTGGAAAAGGTCAGTTTTCATTCCAATCCCTAAGAAAGGCAATCCCAAAGAATGCTCAAACTATCGCACAATTGCACTCATCTCACACGCTAGTAAAATAATGCTCAAAATTCTCCAAGCCAGGCTTCAGCAATACGGGAACTGAGAACTTCCAGATGTTCAAGCTGGTTTTAGAAAAGGCAGAGGAACCGGAGATCAAATTGCCAATATCTGCTGGATCATCAAAAAAGCAAGGGAGTTGCGGAAAAACATCTATTTCTGGTTTATTGACTATGCCAAAGCTTTTGACTGTGTGGATCACAATAAAATTCTGAAAGAGATGGGCATACCAAACCACCTGACCTGCCTCTTGAGAAACCTGTGTGCGGGTCAGGAAGCAACAGTTAGAACTGGACATGGGACAACAGACTGGTTCCAAATAGGAAAAGGAGTACATCAAGGCTGTATACTGTGACCCTGCTTATTTAACTTATATGCAGAGTACATCATGAGAAATGCTGGGCTGGAAGAAGCACAAGCTGGAATCAAGATTGCTGGGAGAAATATCAATAACCTCAGATATGCGGATGACACCACCCTTATAGCAGAGAGTGAAGGGGAACTGAAAAGCCTCTTGATGAAAGTGAAAGAGAAGAGTGAAAAAGTTGGCTTAAAGCTCAACATTCAGAAAACTAAGATCATGGCATCTGGTCCCATTACCTCATGGGAAATAGATGGGGAGACAGTGGAAACAGTGTCAGACTTTAGTTTTTTGGGCTCCAAAATCACTGCAGATGGTGACTGCAGCCATGAAATTAAAAGATGCTCACTCCTTGCAAGGAAAGTTATGGCCAACCTAGATAGCATATTAAAAAGCAGAGACATTACTTTGCCAACAAAGGTCCATCTGGTCAAGGCTGGTTTTTCCAGTGGTCATGTATGGATGTGAGAGTTAGACTGTGAAGAAAGCTGAGCACCGAAGGATTGATGCTTTTGAACTGTGGTATTGGAGAAGACTCTTGAGAGTCCCTTGGACTGCAAGGAGATCCAGCCCATCCATCCTAAAGCAGATCAGTCCTGGGTGTTCATTGGAAGGATGATGCTGAAGCTGAAACTCCAATCCTTTGGCCACCTCATGTGAAGAGTTGACTCATTGGAAAAGACCCTGATGATGCTGGAAGGGATTGGAAGCAGGAGGAGAAGGGGACGACAGAGGATGAGATGGTTGGATGGCTTCACTGACTCGATGGGCATGAATTTGAGTAAACTCCAGGAGTTGGTGATGGGAGGCCTGGAGTGCTGCAATTCATGGGGTCGCAAAGAGTCGGACACGACTGAGCGACTGAACTGAACTGAACTGAACTGAATGAGGGGCTCTTTAGAGGATCCTGTCACACTGCTTTCCAATGTGCACCCCACAAAATGCTAGCCTTAGGAGGTGCTGCATGTAAAGGGGGTGCTCTGGCCAAGTGGGTTTGAGAAATGCTTCCTGTGATTCTTGAATATTCACCACCCACATTAGCCTTTTGAAGGCTCTACAAAACACTGAGATAGAAAAGCCTATTCAACTTGACCATAGAATCCCATAGCACTGGTGTTTTAAAGAATACACTTTGGAAAATACTACCATGACATTTATGGTAGTTGGAGAAGAGGGCCATTGATAAATACTATACAGTGTGATAAGTGTCCACAATAAAACAATGGCAGTAAATATAAGACAAAATAATAAGCCAAAGAAGGAAAGATTAAGTGGAACACTGAGCTGGGTCTTCAGAGAAATGCAAGGCAAAAGCAGTGGGAGAAAAAGGTGGACATGAGGCACTGAAAGCAGAGGGAGAAATATTACTAAGAGAATGAGAAAGTGAAACAGACTGTTTTCTGGAAATTGGGGCCTATACTGCTGGAGTGCCCAATGAAAGGAGGAGAATGGTAAGACATGGGGCTAAAGATGAAAACAGGATCCAAATCAGAGAAAAGGGGTTGTATGCTGTGCTAAAGAAGATGGCTGTAGTTGTCAATTGTTTCCTGTGAAATATTCGTAAATCATAATGCTTAGCAATTGAAACTTTTAATCAATTTGATTACCAATCAACTGGGAGTTTCTAACCTTTCTAAACATCTTCTTGTTAAATATATTTCTAAATTGTAACAGTAATGTCCCTATATTTAAAAATAGAGTGAGTCTAATATATTTAACCTCTACTTGATTATTTAGCAATTTTTTGAGTACCAGTCTTTGTTTTTGTTTTGTTTTTTACTATTTAGCCCTACAACTGGTGAAGGTATATGACAGTAATCCCTGTATCTGTGTTTCTTTATAATCCTATAAGCTGGTGTTTGCAACATTATCATTCTCTTCCAGGAAAACTTTCAATTCACAAACATAATTTGTGAGTTGGGGTGAAATCATCTATAACATACTTTGCTTCTTAAAGGAACTAAATTGTAAAAAGATCACTAATTGTGTTATTGTTTCAAAACTGTAAGTAAGCTAGAATATATCTATTGCCTTGTAGTATAGATGTGAAAATTAATTTCCTTTTTAAAAGAAGTTATTTCCCCTGCACAACAACAGAGGATTTATATCTACCTCCATTTGGGTTTATTGCTTAAAGGGGATCATCAACCACAGACCTGAAGGACTATACAGATTAAAAAAAATGTTTCTGTACTATTCAAAGATCATCTACTGTTTTTAAAAGACATAATGACTCACAGACACTTGAAAGACAAAGAGCTCTGAGGATTGTCAGCGATGCTTCTTTCTACTCACCCTGCTTCTTTCATATTCTTTCCTTGAGGCAGCAAAGAGCTGAGCATTAGATATGGCAATTCCACAAAATGGAAGATACATCTGCATGACCTGGGGGCAAAGAGAGTGTTAAGAACATTAAACCATAAAAATATGGAGCCAGATTCCACATTTCCTTCACATGCCTGATTTTAATACATTTTTTTCAACCACAGAGGCAGAATATAGTGTTGTTGATGCTAATATCTTAACTTCAGAAAGAATATTCTTCAGAGTTAACTATGCTGTAGTCTCAGGTTTTAACTAGGGACAGTCACATCTGTGAAGACATAAAATGAGAAACAGACTGTGATGGCTATGATACAGGAACTGTGTATAAAAGGCATCTCTGTATGCCTTCGTTGATCAATGAAAAATGAGTAAATGGAGGAAGTCTGATATATTTAAAATTTAAGGCAATGCACATACTCACACTTGGAAGTAGGCAGGATATAAGCCAACTTCTTTGTACATATGTATCAGTAGCGGGGATCTCAGCTTGACCCTAGGACCCTGCCAGCTTCAGACTTGAGTATGACTGTTAGGATGGGCCCGGTAGGAACTGAGGGGCAGAGGGCCTAGGAGCCTCACACAGAAGGGTTCAAATTGAACCCACCATTCTGTTGACATAACTAGACATGAATGCAGATGAGTGGGCTGGTGCTACAGAAGCTGGTTTGAGGAGAGGCTGGGGATCCTTTAGGTGAGCATTCTTCCTATGGGGAGAAACAGCCACATGCGACAGGCCTGATAAGACAGGCCTGTCTTAAGAAACAAAAAGAAACAAACAATAAAAAACAAAAAGTTTCATATTACAGGGGGTCTAGGTCTCATGATTTCCAGTACTTCCTGGCACTCTCACTCAAATTCATCTGCAGAATCTCTGATTCTAGTGAGAGGAAATGTTTCAAGTAAAAGCCAAAATAATTATTTCCCTAAACTCTTTACAATGTAGGGGATTGTGACAAGAGACAATGCCTTGGGACTTCTCTGAAGTAGAGGCAAAAGGGCATGTGGGCATGTTTTATATGACAGTCAGTCTCTCTCTCTATCACACACACACACACACACACACACACACACACAGACATACACACCCACCCCTATGATGCCATGTCAAGAGGTGCAGAGCAGTGCCAAAACTAAGCAGCTCCGGCCCAGAAGAGGCAGTGCAGAGCTCGCTGACGGTGAGGGATGAAAACAGCAAGCGAGGATCCACCCAGGAGCAGGTGTGAGACACTCGTAGTGTTAGTAGAAATTGGTTAAGGTTGCCTCCAGAATGCTAGGCCTTATTCTTTTAAGCCCACTCAGCCATTTTCTCAGAAATGTTTCTCTTGCTTACTTAATTACATTTTGAAAACAATTTCTTTCTAATCAGAGCTCTACAATGCACATGGTATTTGCTTTTCTGAGGAAGCCCTCCCTAACACTCCCTTCTTTTGTGAGTATTCTTTATTCCAGAAAAAAAAAGTCAAGATGTGATAGCCTCAAGGACAACCGGAACCCTCCCAAGACCTCCTGACCCCGACTTTGACCATGTAAAGGCTTTCCAACAGGAAAGAAGAATGCAAGCTTGCATCTGCCCTACTTCTTATCTGCAGCACTCCCTCCCTCTCCTGAACTATAAGACCCCTTCCTATTTTTCCCAAGGGAGGGCAAAGTCTTGAGGGCGCTAGCCTACTGTGGCCTCTTTTGCCTGGCAAAGCAATAAAAGCTACTCTTTTCTACTTCACCCAAAATTCTGTCTCTGTGTTTCAGTTTGGTACCAGAGAGCAGAGCCCAGGATTTCGGCAACACTGGGATACCCAGAATGAAACTACTTGGAGTGGGAGGTGCTTTTGTAGAGGGCTGGAGATGGTCTAACGATGAAGGGGACTTCACAATTCCTATCATTTCTTTCCTATTAAAATCTTGCTTTGGCTACTTGGGCATCCTCAACTCTGACAGAGTGTCCCTAAAAGTCTTAATAATTCAGAAGGCTGTAGAAGCTAATGCTGAGACCCCGATTGCTTTTACTGAGATATAGTTGATGTAGAGTATTATATGTTTCAGGTGTACAACATAGTGATTCACAATTTATTAGAGAAAACAAAGAATTCAATAAACACACTTACATCTTATTCAAGAAATAATCATTTATAATAGTAGCTTATATTGACAAAGTCCTTGGATACGATGTTAAGCATTTTATATGCACTATATCATTTGATCCTCACAACTACATAGTTATACTCTTCATTCTACTTTTCAGATGAGAAAACAGGCTTCACAAATTTATCAAATTTGTTGGGAAATATTCTCCATGTATTCCTCACATTTCTGCACATCTTGCAAACAAAGGCAACGGCTCATCTTTCCAGAGTGTTTATATAGTTAACAGTCTTGTAAAATAGAACAAAGAGCAGAAATGCTTACTATGCAATATAATGAAGATAATGCCTCTCTCTGAGGCAGAGGTCAGGTGGGTTTACTGTCTATTATAAAAGATTTTGGTTCCCTACATTTCAGATTCTTCTCTGGTAATGCATGCCCTGTGTAATCTGTATGATGCTGTTATTAAACATCTTGTCCCAAGCCAGAACTACCTGTTCACATATCACTATTTTTTTTTTCATTTTCCCTGTAAGGGTGTGTGTGTGTGTGTGTGTGTGTGTGTGTGTGTGTGTGTGTGTTGTGTGTGTGTATGAAGTTCACACATAGTTACCTGGTATATGTAATGTTAAGGCAAGAGATTCACAATTACTAAAGTCAGTATTAAATTTCCTTACTCTCCTTTTTACTGAGTCAGTTGCTACTGATTTTATTTCCTCATTCCATTGATTCTCCCGTTTACTACATTACACTTCCTTTATTTAAGACAAATTTTATGCACATACTTAATAAAATCTAAATTTAACATCTTTAGTCTCCTCACAAATAAGGTAAGGACTTTGGAATACTTTAACTCTCAATACTACTTCCTGATATACTTTTTTTTTTCCTGTTACCTTTTTTTTCTAGCGCTATCTGGTTTTGCTACTACAAATTGGACATTATTTTGTTATTGTTATTAGGCAGTGCTTATTTTGATTTGTCCACATGCTTACCAATTTTTCCCTATTCATTTCTTCCAGTATCTCCTTCTTCCCTTCTAGGATAATTTTCTTTCTGTGTGAAGACAATCCTTTAGAACATTCTTAAGCATTGGTGGTAAATGCTTTATTTTGTATTAAAATGTTTTTATTTTATGAACTTAAAAGTTAATTTATTTGGGTACACAATTCTAAGTTGACAGCTGTTTTCTCTCAGTACTTAGAAGATATTCCCCTATCACGTGCAGTTAATGCTGTTGAAAAGTCAACTGTCAATCTAATTCTTGGTAAATAATTCATCTCTGTCTTTTTTTTTTTAAGAATCTTTTTATGTCTTTTTGTACTTTTCCACCCTCAGTAAAATGCTTTTAATTGAATTATATAGAACTCATACATATGTGTAAATATAGATGGTTAGATAGCATCACCAACTCAATGGACATGAATTTGAGCAAACTCTGGGATACAGTGAAGGGCAGGGAAGCCTGCCACCCTGCAGTCCATGGGGTTGCAAAAAGTCAGACATGATATAGCAACTGAACAACAATGACATATACATATAATCCTATATATTATATATCTAAAGATTACTATGGATGGAGACAATACCAGACCTTCATGAAACACTATAAACTAAAAGGGGATCTTTACTTACAAAGGGAATGATCTATACTGTGCCATTCACTGGCACAACAATTCAACACTTTCTGGGGTCAGACTCAGCTCCATTGCTGCTGTTGTTGTTCAGTCATGTCCAGCTCTTTGCAACCCCACAGACAGCAGAATGCCAGGCCTCCCTGTCCCCCACCATCTCTACCACCACCACCATGCCTATGCAACAAGTATAGAGTTTCTTAATACATATGCAGGAGAAACAGTCAAATACAATTTAATAGAAGGGAGTGAGAAGAAGCTGAAGCATTATGGAAATAGGAGATGATTAAAAAAATCTTATATCCTTTTTCAGTTCCAGTGCAAAACATGTCTTTTTTAGAAAAAGAAACACTGTTCTATCCTGCTTTTTCTGAAGTCCCCCTCCTCCAAGAAAAAAATACTAATTTGGTCTTCACCATCTAGTTTCTGAAGGCCAAAAGGTCTAAAAAGCCTTAATGACTAAGAAGCTAATGAGTCTGTACACCCTTGTGCAGCACTTTTCAGCTTGAAAGCACTTTATGAACACTGGCTAATTAATCTTTACAACATCCCACTCAGAAAGGGAGTTAAACTGAAAATCATTAAACAGTGTGAAAAAGTCACTTTAGCCCTGGAAACTCATGAAAAGTATCACTAATAAACATAAAATCTGAGCACTGGGACCGTCCATCAATGTCCTAAAGAAAGACAGTAGGTACTGAGCACTTTGACTGCAGAGAAAGGCTATTCAAGCCCCATGGTCTAGTCTGGTCCAATTACACATCATTAAAGAACACTGGGGGTCTATACTGGATGCTTGCAGTGAGAGGCCTGGGGCCATCCCCTTTATGAACCCCACTCCTGGAGGCAACACAGCTGGAGGTGCCACATCACTGTCAGCCAAATTAGGGGGTCCGACCCACACCTTGCTCTTCCGTGCAGATCCTGAGATCTGCCTTAAGGCATTAACTATAAGGCACTTTGCTGGTTCAAGCCCTGCTGATTTGGAACTGGGGGTGTTCTAACAGTTGTAATTCAAAAGCTAAATAAACTCTTCAAATAGAGTAATTTGGAAAATAAAGCATCAAAATAGGAACCAGTCACAGGAGTTTCACATAATGAAACACTTTCCTCATCTTTCAGAAATAGAATACTTGAAATAGTAAAAAATTATTTTGAAGCTCTGGAAACTCTGGAAGAAATTCCTGCTTCCAGAGGTATAGTTTAGCTCACTGTAATCTTTCTATGCAAATTCAGTAACTAAAATAGGTTGGGTTTTTATTTCACGAATCAGAATAATAAACGCATCTTATCAGATCACACCAAAGTATATGCTTTTGGCTGAAGCGTGCCTTTTCCTCTCAGAGC